CACACATTTATTTACAAATTGAAAAATGAAATAAATAAGTGCAACCAGCGCTCAGAAAAATATATCCATAACAGCGAAGTTAATTGAAACTTGATTCGCGTTTATTGTTACTTAAACAAAATGTCAATTACTTTCTTCGATGAAATCCAATTTATTTTTCTCAATTGCTGACATAAAAGTTAAAAAAATCGTACCTGCTTAATGTTTTTTTTTTTTTTTTTACAAACATACTCTCTTGAGTAATAGAAAAGAAGTCTTTATGCGAGCTACGTGTACAAACGTTTACCCGAAATCGCCGTTTGCAAAAAACTCGGTTTTAACTGGTTGATAACGATGCTCCACGATAGCAGTGTATAAATTATAACAATAATTGGCCGGATTCCGAGTACCGTTTTGGGAGCCAAATAATGCCGGGGCCGTCATCCTCAGCTTCGGTAATGGTTTATGAAAATCGGTGCAATTGTCTTGGTTTAAGTTAATTAGTTTCCTGGCGCTTTCAATATCAAATAAATAACGTTTTGGTCGACTTGGCCACTACACTATTATACTATTGATTATTTAATGTTGTTTAATATGTGATTTCTATTGTTTTATCAATTGTTAAATCAATCAAATTGTTATGTTTGAAACGTGTCGTTATGGCCACCCACTTGCAGGGCAGTTTGCCTAAAGGTTGTTGCTCTCTTTGAGAAAAAAACAATTACTAGTTTCATCCAACAGAATCATTTGGAAAATAAATCTCTATTGATCATAATATTGTCTATATGACATTAATAATGCCTTTGGCTAAACTTAAAAAATAACAAGAAACAAACTGTTTGTTAGAATTACATGCATTTTTAGGATTTTTACAATTATTTATATTTTATATTATTTTATTCTTGTTCCGTCTTCAATTTGTTAAACGCCTAGCGAGATGTTCTGTTTTCGAGGTGAGGGGAAGTGGGAGAATACATCCAATATAGTTTAAGTGCAAAACCGTACGTGGACGGTTTTGAAACCGAGCAAAAGTTTAGCAGTTAAACGAAATTGCTAAAAAAAAAAAAAACTGCGCTTCAGAAAAAACTAGGTAAATAAAATGGTAAAGCGCAATTTATCGAAATATCGAAATCAATAACCGTTTTAGCCGAAACCATTCCAGTCGACTTCAATAATAGCCCCGTACTTAAGCTATTCAATTTTAAATTATAGTGTACTTGGCGGTAATTTCAAAACGTTTTACATAGTATGAGGCAAATCGAGTGCAGAACGATACAAGTACTTAACATGTATTTTTTTTATTAAATCCAGGTATATATTTGTATAAAGTACTAACGTTGTACACGAATACTATTGAGATTAATAAATCAAACAGCCGTGGTAAGGCAAAAATAAAAAAAGCGTTCTTCGTCAACGTTAATGTTTTCTTTTGCTCGGCTCAAAAAGAACAAAAAAACACCATAAAAAGACTTTTTGAGCTAGAAGAATTGCATTAGCTCGGATGATGTAAATAGGGCGCCGAGTAAAATATTCCATTCAATGTTTTCTGTTCGAATTTTCGGTCTGTGAGTGAATAATAATATATTTTAACATATTCCTTTCTGGAGAGGGCACACGTTAATGGTATTTATTTAATTGACTTTCAACGTCGACTAAATTGATAGGTTTTGCGATAATTTGTTTTCCATGTTCACCGAGGGCAAAACGCTCAGTTTCTTTTAAAATCTTTGCAATGATTTGTCGACCGTTTTAGCTTATATTATTTTAATATATAAGGCAACACGTTCGTTACATTATCATTTCAACGGTTTTCATCTTTTAGATCTTAAACGGTACCGCATATATTTAGTTAACTATATTTAAATTGAAAATAATTTTCGGAAAACATTGACCGGCCGACAACAACATCCAAGTTTTGGACGAGTACTTTTTGAGTTACTAAAGTTTAAAATTTAAAACGGGTGGAAGGGTGGAGGGAAGTATTGTCTTACCTGTGCACATTATACCTAAGTTTTAAACTTTAACAACTACAAAAGGAATTATCCAAAACTAGTTATTGGCCAATCGACATTTTCAGGAAATCATCCTTTGAATTTAAAATGACAATTAAATGTATATATATATCATCATTTTCAAGTTTCAAAAGTCGATAGGTTTCTGGGGATATTATAAGATCTAAAAAAAATTCAATAAAATATTTTATGTTATTGACACTTTGGAGAATTTTTCACATTTCAACAATGCCATCAAACCCGCCGGTTGTATTTGCTTATCTACTTTTCTTTGCACTTGAGAATTTTTTTCCAGACAAGTAAGTAAATAGTTGGCTTTGAAGTAAGATTTAAAACGGCGGAAAACTGAAAGAGAATTTTTTTTTCTAAAGTGATGACAATCAGAGCTTATTGATTTTGTCGCACAAAGGGCAGTTTCGATTGTTTCAACTCGTTTTACAAAAAAAAAAACAGTTCAATCGCACTTCAATATTTTTTAAAAGCTTTACCAACAATTGTACTCTTGTAAGTAGTGCAATTCACGACTCTGGTCTAATCTTGAGTATGTGTTGAATTTTTACTTTGTGATAATAACAATAAGCAAGATATTAAAAACTAGAAAAAAAATAGCCGTTGTCAGAAAAGGCCATCCAGCTGGCGAATTGTCAGAACAATATCAATAAGTTACAAACTCTGTATGTAATAGGTGCTAGTTGAATTTTTAAAAATTTTAAGCTCAACCCAAAATGAAAACAAAAGCTGGTTGTAAATGACTAAATGAAAAGCTCGAACCACGAAGACCCACTAAAACTTTTACAAATATTAAAAAAATAACTTATAATTAATATATGCTGTATTCATCTAGAAATATCATATCAAATGGAATCTCCTTATTGAAGCTCATCATAAAGTAGTCACTATCTAATTGTTTGAATTAATGTTGACAAGAAACTCAAATGGGATTCAAATAGATCTTCAAATGGGATTAATTAATTTGAAAACGTTTTTGCTTAAAATAAATTATGTTAGGTAACTTTGTTTTAATATAACATATCAGTCTTATGCCTAAAAGCTTATGGAATAACATGTGTAATTTCCAAAGTTTCAGAAGATTGGCATCTTTACACAATAATATTATATTAGCCGCTTTCTTGTCGGCCACGGGCAGAACCACAAGTTTCGGTGTGGCCATCATCAAAGTAACTTTTTTTACTAATTAAATTATTGTAACGATTGCGCACACAAAACAAAAAACTCAACACAAACTTACTAGTAAAAAAAAAAACTAGTCAAACGACGTTTTGCACTGACTGTAAAAAATATGATCACTACACAAAATACTGTGCACAATATCTTTTCCAGAATACCTTGCAATATTGGTTTGACGAATCATGTTATTATTTTACTTGTAATAAATAAGGGCGAAACATTGGACTGCGGTGAAAACTTTTACCACTGGCGGTATTGTAAAACTTGGAAAACATTTATGTAATAAAGTCCGTAGGGAGAAAAAAGTCATGACGGATTTCGCGTAACGCGTTAGCTATGATGTTACATAAAACGAATAATAATCCACCGAAACTCTACTCGAAATTGCATTTTTCACATCATTCGTACGCCAACACCTGTTGCGGGGGTGTAATTTTCGAAATTTAATCGACAGCAGAAATAATTTTTCCAGGGCACATCAAAATCAAATTAGTCACCGCCTCGTTCGCTCGATTGAGGAAAACCTATTAAAAAAAAAATCATAACTCTAAAAAAAAAAAAAATACCACGATACAAATCCGCATAAACGATAGAAACGTGGTGTAAACGCAGGTTGACCGTCAGACTGTAAAACTAAAAAAATTGAATCGATATTTTATTGAATGATTTAGACGATACCTATGTTTCAGCACGATTATTGTGGGACAATAATGCGAGCATAATGAATTATGGTACTGTACAATAAAATATTGTGATATCATTAAACATTTAGGTATAGTTTGACATTTTTGTTCTCATCGTGAAATACAACCCAACCTACGACTGAATGAAATAGAGTAAATACAAGGTGATACATCTGGTGTAACTCACTCATTTTCTGGGAAAATATGAATCTTTTGAAAATTATTCAATTTCCTGTACTTGTAGGTACTTTCTGGTACTTTCTAATACCGAATGTTTTATCTCTAATCTCTTACCTATTACCTCACATCCAGCTGGACCATCTCAGCATACAGCTGGATCATCCCTTAACTATAATCTCTTTTCTTTAATCTAGTATCTCTTTTCCATTATCTCTAACTCTTCTCTTATCACTTATCTTTTAATTTTTTTCTTACCTCTAGTCTCTAATCATTTATCTCTTATCACTAATATCTTATTATTTATTTATTATCTCTTGTTTCTATTATTTATCTCTAATCTCTTATCATTTAGCCCCTATCTCTTATCATTATCTCTAATCTCTCATAATTTATCTCTCACCAATTATCTCTTTTCTTTTATCTCTTATCAATTATGTCTTAGCATTTATCTTTTATCACTTATCATTTATTTCTGGTCTCTAATCATTTTTCTCTTATAATTTTTTGAGTTAGGGGCCGAATAGGACTGAAAATGGTCCCTCTTTTAAGGTGAGCTTTATGCACTGAATAACAAGGAATAATTTTTTTTATGTCATTATTTTTTTACTTAACTGTCGAAATCTTCAATTTTTTACTTATCGAAAAAATGAAAACGGGGTGCTCATTTGGGGGTTACCCAGATGTTTAATCACCTATTACTTACCTTTCATGCTGGAACACCCTGTATAATGTATACTCGGTAACGTTCGGCTACTGGTTTTTTTTAAACCAAAGACATATAACATAATTATAAAGTCAAAATATGTAATATCTTTGCAATGCCATAGCCTTTGAACAGACATTTATTAATAATTGAAATTCGAACATTGTCTAGTATTATTATAAACTAAAGTTATACGAGTGTCTAAATAAGTTTTAGCACAAAGCTATCGATTGAATTTGAATCCAAAATACTCACCATCACTCGTCACTCGACTTAACTTGAATAGACACCTTGCTTACATGACTCATCTGAAAATAAACAGACATTAGGTTAGTTTTTTTTCCGCGTTTAAACTGTTATTGTTTAACGCACACACGGTGGAAAATTTGCCAAGCCTTAGCATCATATTAATAATAATAACATTTTGATGTTCTTCAACACAAACATAACATAATATTATTATCATCATAAACTTGTCAGATTTTACGCGCACTTTTTACGATAATAATAATAATAAAAAATATATAATATTATTCATTTTCGAAACTACCCTATCGATACAGCGCATGCACACAATATACATAATATATAATGTCTGATCGCCCGATATTTATTATTCAAGACCCAGCGACGTCGCGTAGAAAGCATAAACGTCAGCCATAAAAGTTTTGTTTTCACACTATATCCATACAAAAACTAAAATACAATAGGTAGGTGCATTACAATAGGCCAAGTGACATTTTAAAAATTTAACGGCTGACCCTAAGTACATAAGTAACGAGCGCGTGTGCCGGGTACACCATAGAGCACACTAGACGCCCTTTGTGTACACTCGAGTTCCGGGGATTTATTTTGAATTCTAAAACAAGCAATACACCATGTATATAATATGCTACTACGTGCTCCAGCAATTTGTTTACAAACAGATTGAATCTACCTACTTGGGTACATTTGAAATGTATGCTTTGAAGAAGAAAAAAAGGATAATTCCAACAGAACGGGGTCGATCAGTGTTCATCGCTAAGGAATATCATCCAAAGAAAAGCACTAAAGATAATATTATATTACTTAGTGTTATTCAAGAGAGGATTTGTCAAAAAAAAAGAGAAATAGGAATATTGATGTAACTCAGTTTGGTTTCAGAAATGGGTTTAAACGTTCCAAATCAACGATGTAGACACTTTCATCATTTTCACGTGTCTATATGTTTTGTAACTTTGAAGAAGAAGCCATCAGGAGACCATGAAAATGCTACACTTACTATTACAATTACTAATGCAGTTCTAGAGAAAATAGAGGCGTTTGGAAGGTGGACGTACGGGCCTAATACTAATGCACAAAGAGAAAGAAGATGTAAAAACAGTAAAAAGTCTGCAAATTTAACAACTTTGGTACAACTGCCACTAACACGATCAACCAATGCCAACTTGATAAAACCATAAAATCCAGGGTTTTTTTTTTTTCTAGCTAGTTATCACGTTTATTTCAGACTTGTAATATTCAACACTGGGTTTCTCAAGACGAAATCGTCTAGGGAATGTATGCACACAGCAATGGAACTTGCAGATGGTTTTAAATATTTATGGTTACGTTGAAAATGCACAGCACGTATCCATGCGCCGCATTGAGAACGATTTGAATAAAACTTTGCTTTTGAAAACTTTTTCTTGTTTATTTTACGCGGATAAACGTTTTAAATTTTCAATTCGCCCCAAACCATCTGGACTTGAGATTTTACAAAAGTCGCAGGTAACGTTCGAATACATACCTCTATAGCTTTTGTGCTGTTTATGATTAAGATAATTATGATTTATACTAACTGTTGGGTGGGTTACATTAGCCGTTACCAAAAATAATTACCACAGTGTTATGGTAAAAAAAGGATTTATTTGTTTTTCTCGTTTAAATGCGCTTCGAGTATGCAAAAATAGGTACTCGCGTGCACGGTATAACGTTTAAGTTTATTTTGTCGGTTAGGTTAGGTTAGACTTCAGCTAAGAAAGCCAAATAAAGAATAAGTGTGTCGTGAGTACAGGCACAAAAGTAAAAACACGCCATTGTACAAATGAATACCTTCTCGGGTCCATTACAAAAACAAAAAATACATGCAAACGAGAAAAATTATAATATGTATTTCATTTTTGTTGTATATTTAAACAATCATAGTATATCTCTTGTGTTTTATACGACACACGTTGTCCCTAACCCAGCCAACGGCCATTGCTTTGTGGTACATAGTAATCGAGGCGTTTATTCGAATACACTTTACTTGGCGGCGAACCGTGTAATATACAATGTTACTATACTATTATAAAATATCGTTTGTACGTGACAAACTCGGATCTACTCAAAACACAACCGACTAAACGGAAAGCCCAGCACTAGGCGCAGCCCGGCAAACGGTATTTTTAAAAAACACATTTTCCCGTCGATAAAAAAAAAAAAAAAGGTGTGCACGTACAAAACATTAAAAGCCTTTGCGGTGTTTAATACTTACAGTAACTGTTATAAAAATAACATTTTTACAACACAAGATTTTTTACTAACCAGACTCGTGTCTTATTGGCTGACATCATTAAATGTATTTGTTTTTTTTTAATATCTACTAAAAAAGTCGACTGGTCGAGAACTAGATTTATGAAAGCATAATTACATGCTAAAAGTTTAGTCTTACACTGGATGAGGTGTAGGGTTTCCTAAATTTGTCTGTGGGTTCATTACTCAACTGTTGTTCTCCCCTTACCTGTTAGTTATTTTACCATTAAACGCAATTAACTCAAAAAGTAATTATTCAAGCCAATTATTATAGATCAGACGACATTTTTGTATAATGCCGTTTTGATCTGAGAAGGCTGCAAATTGTGTAACGTTCAAAAATAGACAAATAACATAAATAAAAAAAAGATTTAAAATAATATTACAAATTATAAAGTAAACTTCACATAAAATTAAAATAAACCTTTCATTTGACTACCAACGTGTGACACTGATCAGTCTGATGTAAGACACTCATTTTCTAAGAAAGCTGACATAATAAAATGTTTTGAGATAACGATAGACAAGCGGTTCTTATCTAGGTACATATAAAATCACAGCCATGGTGACAGTGTTATCGTCACAATATTATTATTTAATGTAAAAATACTAAGCTACTGTTGTAAGAACCGACCATACATTGATCTTAAATTCAACATTTTTCACAAATTCATAGCAAACAACAGATTGATGAAAATTCAAAATTTAAGCTTACATTTTAAATTTAATGTAAGCTTACATTTTTTTTGTCTATGCATTATGTTTTAACTCTATAAATATGTAGACAAAAACTTAACAAAAAACCTAGTTATTTTCCCCGATTTACAAAAAAAAAAAATATCAACCATGGATAAAACGTCATCTCTAATCCCTTGTCACTTATATATTTTCTCTTATCTGTTACAAATTGTTTTTTTTCTCTTATTTATTATCACTTATCATTTATATCTTGTCTCTTATCTTTTATCAATTATCTCTAATATCTTACCTCTCATCATTTATATACTATCTCTTATCTTTAATTTCTAATTACTCCTCTCTGAACTCTTATCTCTAACTGAAAGTAAAAGTAAAAGTAAATTTTGTACCCGAAAACATATCCGTGTTAAACACCTTGTCATATTTTCTTCGCTCCACGGAATCATGGTTATGTTATCTCTTATCGTTTATCTCGTGATTCTTACCGTTTAACTTTTTAGCTCTTATTTCTTATCGCTCGTCCCCAATACCTTATCTCTAGCTGAAAGTGAGAGTGTAGCATGAAAATGGCGTCATGAAATTTGTTGTATCCGGTTAGGACTCGGATATTGCTACAAGAGTTTCGACATTTTCAAAACTGTTACACAAATTCAGCGTTTGACAAAATGAACGAACCGTCAAATATTTACACAGACAATTATTTTCACGACGATGTAAGGTTCGTGCCGATCGCGTGTTGTCCCGTGATAGGTACAGTCAACGTCACTGAACGAAACAAATTATTTGCACTGTACCGAGGTCGGCACCTAAATCAACATAATGGCAAGTCTGTAAGAGTACAGTATTGTTCAGTGTAATGTAATCCATACTTTGCTTTGCTAGATAGATAACTAGTTGAACTCTACTGAAAGTGACTAGCGGAATATTATCTTGCCTACCTAACATCAATTTTTTTTTTTTTTTGTTTCGAAAATGCGGTTCCGTATACTGCCGGTGAACATTGTTCTGTGTTTGGTGATGCTCGTTCGTCGGTCCACACAAGTACAGCATTTGGACACCGGCTACTTGTATGCCGTCGGAGACGAAGGCGATGGCCGCTACTTGAAATGCGCCTTTTGGTACAGCGGAAAAATTCACATGCAATTGACCAAACTACTGTTGAAATTAGACGGGTTGGCTCCTTCGACTTTGGACGTGATTTCCGGTTTCGAAAAGAACACCGTAATACATTTGGCAGTGTTGTACAAGCTGAAATCGGAGCGCATCGGTGCCTTGTGGCTGGTTCATTTGTACGTCAGCAAGGTACAAACTTACTTTGGTTATTTAACTGGCTCAGGCTATTCGCACGCGGATATCGTTGAAAAAATGACAACCGTCCACGATTATATCGTTGAAAAGCTCGAATCCGAGACGGCGGCGTATTGTCCCGAAGGCAACGACCGTTTCGACTGGAGAAAAAGACAGTTTGCCGGAGAGGAAATGACTTTGGACAACGTGAAAGCGATGATCGAGCAAAACACCAAAGAAATGTACGACATTTTAGAAAACAACAACCTAACGCGGCACGGCAACATCGGCCATTTCAAAGTATGTAATATTTTATTGCTAACCACCGAAGTTCGGCAAAGTATTGAGAGAGCACTTACTAGACGCTTCAGCGTTCATGTGGACTGGAGAGCAACCAAACAATTGTTTGCTAATGAATGGTCCAATACTAGGGACCTCGATTTTGCCACGAACGAGCTCAGAAATATAAAGTCATACTTGTTGATGGTATTGGACATATTGAAAGTGATCATCATGCGGATGTCTTGGAAACACTTGGAATGTACTGAACAGGCTACTCTCAAACAAAGGCCTTATTATATGGTAAAATGGATCTATAAACTTAAAGATTTCGCTGCCATTTTTAGCTTACAGGACACGGATACACATATCCAGTACTTGATCGAAGCTTTTGGTCACACAAATATTGGAAATATCGAGTTTATCGTACCTTTGATAAGACACATCAGGGATGAACTGAAAGTATTGTCAGCTCCTCTAGGTTGTGATGCGATCAGACCATTCCCGC